ATCGGTCTTGTTTAACAAAATCTGCCTACAAGAAAATCTGTCACCAAAGTATACCAATATATATATATATATATATGTTACTTGTGACGGATTTACTATCCTATATCTATTTTAATATCGATGTTTGATTGAGTTAAATTTATATTTAGAGATGTACATAACTTATACTGTTAAATAAGTATTGCGAAATTGCCGCCTACACTCTAAAATTGTAGAAACTTCTCGAGTGTAAGAATCAACAATATACGTGTACGTAAACACTGGTGTATCGTTTATATTGGTGCGTTATAATGTGACACATGCTTGTCCTTTCAGCCGTGGAGGCGTTAAAATGTGATGATCAATCCTACTATTCGTTGGTAAAAAAATAGGGACGGCTAGCGCAGATAGCCCTCGTGTAGCTGTGCGCGAAATTCATAACAAACAAACTATCATTCCTTCTCAAAGTGTCCTGCCCCTTAGTAAGCAGAGCACAGATAGCTCATTGTGTGGCTTTGTGCTTAATTTTGTGTCCTCAATTTATGTTTTCAAATATCATTACGATTTTACTGAGTTTATACTTATAAATCAATCATTCAGTTCATCTCCTTTTCTGATTTTGTTGATAATGATATAAGTGTATGCCGAACTATTCTACTCACGTAAATATGCTATTCTTCATCTCTACAACCGTGTTCGTATTTATTAGTAGATTCCGTTTTCCATGTTGTACGCCTTTCACCAACGTTCTTATATATTATTGTTTCTAATGTTATAATCCAGCCTCTAGATAATCAAACATAATGATAAAATTCTGTATATCTGAACCTTAGAATTACGATACCGATTAAAAACTTTAAACTTAAGAAAATTAATATACATATTGTATGCTGTTAGAATTTCTAGCTCAGAGTAAGTTGAATATAGACACTGTTTATACAGTCTCTACTCTATCATAGTTATAGTTAGGTTTACATACAGTCTTTACTCCATCATAGTTATAGTTAGGTTTACATACTCAAGCTACAACATCATTCAGTTATTTATCTTAGCTTTATCGGTGAGAACCATAACATTTATCTACAGAATGATGGTATGACGTCACACTAAAATTACGATTTACAAAGAGCAACATCGAGCAGTCTTGTACAATGCCTTTATTGGTTTCTAGTTTATTTTTAACATATTTATAAACAAGCGAACATAATTATTAAGATATAATTATACACTTTACTAAGCTGAATAACTCGTTATGACCATTGAAACATTATTATGAAGAAGAGACATATCGAAATAGTTTAAATACTTAGGTTTATCAATTTATACTAACGTTTTGAAAACGCCACAATGAAAGTAGTTTTTGCATTAATGGATTAATTAAATTTAAAAAGTTACATATATATTTCTGCGAATCGTATTCTCATTGTATTGCAAAGTTCACAATAAAACCACTGAATAAAAAATTAGTTTCTTTTGAAATCAATGAATATGCGTTAATTTCAGTTTCAAATCTAACTTTTACAATCATTTTTGCCAATATAAAATTGAAAAAAAAAAACTGCCTAGCTTAACCATTCTATTTCATTATACTTGTTTGTTAGTTTATGCAATGTAGATTAACAATACGTAGCTTAATTTTACCGTGAAAAAGCTCCCTCTGTGTTTGGCTAGTAGGCTATTGAAATAAATTATTTCTAGTTGACTAGTCCTTGAAAAACGATGTTAGGGACATTATCTCTGACATTTCCTCTGTGATATCGTATGCATTGACTCAACTCAAAACATAACTCTTTATAAATGAATCAGACATTTTTTTTTACTATGAATCTGAGATTTTTTATTCAGAGAAGTATATAGTTTATAAGAAGGTATGAATACCAAAACCGAAAAGTATATTTTAAATACAGATAAAACGTTTTCATTCGAAAAAAAAAAACGCTCGAAAATGAATGCGTCCTCTTGGATCAGTACACTACCCACTGTTATGTCAAAATTCATATTTTGTATGAAATTTTAAACCATTAAATGTATTACAAATGATTCCTTTCAATAATTAAAATTACGTGCATTGACCTTTAATGAAATTTAATTAACTCGTCTGAAAATTCATCGAGTAATACCACATGATAAAATACGGACAGCATTTAGTAAACTAGTCTGAAGTACAGATACCCTGTTTTTGTTTTTTAGAAGAAAATAGTACTTTGAGGTAAAACAAAAAAATAACCTTTAAGATTGTTTGCAAAAACGTCCCGTAGGTCTTCTATTGCGTTATAATGTTTGTCAAATGAAAGATAAATGGCCGCTTTAAAAACGAGAAATACGATCCACTTACTGGCATGGTATTTACGGTTTCATCCTACCAAAGTTCAGCAGTAAAATCTGTTTCATAACGTTTCTATTAAAATCTACTTGTGACAAAAATAAAAGGTCGTTCAGAGTTGATCTGTTAAGATATATTTGCTCAAGATACAAAAATCGATCGTCCCTGCTTTTATTGAACACTGTTGTGTACTGACAGTTAAAAATCAATAACTTTGTATCGCATTTACAACACAAAAAATTACTTTATAATATTTGCAGTCATGTATCCAGGCATAAGATATTTGTTTTTCATTACAATCCCATATTTTATTTTTAAGGAATAGCGGCAGATTATATGCAATGTTTGTACAAGTTCTTCACAAAATTTCATCAGAAATTGTATTAACGGATTTCTTTGATCATATCAAAATTATAACCGTAGCTTTATTCTGACGAAACAGTAACTAGATTAACTAAAAATCCAACTTATGAAACAAAGGCTTAGCAATAAGTCTGAGAGCTAATAACACTACAAATCGAATTTTGATACCGATGTTGGGCATAGCACAGATATCTCATTGTGTAGTTTCGTGTTTACTAACAAATAAACCGTATGAAACTAAGTAAAAACATCCTGCTGTTTGAGTTGGTAAAAATAACGAAACATACCTGAGCCGTCAAATCAGTTTGGAAGGTGTGTCATTATTACTAAGAACTTAGTTTTCCTGTTAAATCTATTGTTTTCTTTTTTGTAATAAAAGTAGTAGAATGTACTGTAGAATAGTTCAAATATAAGAATATAAAATATGAATAATATACAAAAGAACAATTGTTTTGTTCGGTAGCGGACAGCCATTGTAAACAAATTATTCTACATGTTTTACTTATTTATCAATAACAGACTTTAAAAGTCTGGTTACTCGTGTTTAATCATCTTTAGTAGAGCTTAGTAGTGAAACGTCAACTGTTGTATTAGAAAACGTACTTTCGAAGATTTTATTATTTTTTCCAGACAACTGTTATTAGCTTATTAGCCAGATGTAGGTTTCACATAACAACTTCACTTCTCACAAATTAATAAGATACTTGTAGGTTTTTAATTTTAAAGATGAAGCCTATAGAATTTTTTGCGTTACCTTTAATCTTCGATCGTTTTGTTGGTTGTTAAGCGCAAAACTACGCAATGGGTTATTTCTATTCTGTCATCCGTGGGTATCGAAACCCAATTTTCAATGTTAAAAACCCTCAGACTTGCCGCTGAGCGACAGGAGGAGGCAGATTTAGTATTTCTGTTGATGCTGTTATTATGAAACGTATTGCTCTGTATTCGTTGGGAATAGTCATTTACGTTCGGTCATAACACGTGATGATATTCAATCTATACCTTAACGCAAACAAATTCTTTAGATGGTAAACATAGGATATGGCTCCTAAACCAATCTCTTTTTAAAATTAGCTAAATTATGTAATAAAACACAAACTGCAAAAAATTAACCAAAAACAAACGTTTTAGAAACAGTTGTCTAGTACTCTCTTACAGTGATTTGGGTGATGAACCCATTGCTACTCAACACATAATTATGTATGTTCAGTAGAGAATACACACGGCATACTATCTTTTAAAGTGCAACAGTAAAGGCAATACAAAAACATCGCATCGAATTTCCATTAGAAAATATTTTTTGTAATATAATACATAATAAAATTGAGTAATATTTATTACGATGCTTAGATCTGTCATTTTTTTGAAGAAACATAATCAATATTTTCTGGAAAAAGATCTACCTATTGTACAGTAAAACAACTTTGCCTTCTTCCATGCTTTGATGAGAGAACGGCGAATTATACTTACCTAATTAAGACAGATAGATGGATAGAAATGTCTTGTAGGGCTAAATTAAATTATTTCGAAGGTTTCTACATTTGAATCCATTTTATTTTTTCTAGATCAGGCCACCATAACAAAATTCAGCCATACGGTTCTGGCAAACCCTGGGGACGACGCTCAATTCGAATGCATAGTAAATGGTAACCCACTCACTGATGACACCATACGATGGGCCAGATCTGGTTTTGACAAGCTCAGGACGCAAGTGGTTTCTTCCAGAGGGCATTCGATACTAAACGTTTTCAATGTGTCAAGGAAGGACGCTGGGGAGTTCCACTGTTTAGCTTACAATGGAATTGGAGAAGAAACGGAAGCACGCATACAGCTTGTAGTCAAGTGTGAGTCGTGAGTGGATCTACAGAAAATAAGACATTTTATTCATTTAAAATGTGTTATATATATAGCTATTATTTATATCACAAACTGTCTGGACATAGTACAAAGTAAGCACACAAGATTAAAATAAACGGATTACCTTAAAATCTTTTCCACAAGAAAATTAATACTTATGTTTTTAGTGGAATAATAAGGTTTTAGGTTTATCCGAATCTAAAACTTTATTGTTATTAAAGTCTTGATAATTGTAATTAATTATGAATATATGTTGTCTTATAATTACTTTGCTCTACTCCAGCCAATAAGCATTTCACATTTCTTAAGATATGGGGGGAGGACAGTTTGTTTTGAAGTTAAGCACAAAGATACACAATGAGCTATCTGTGCTTTGCCCACCACGGGTATCGAAACCCGGTTTCTAGCGTAGTAAGTCCGCAGACATACCATTGAACCACTGGGAGGAAGGGGGGAAGAGTAATATTTTATGAAGCTTATAAACAATGTCTTTTTGTGCGTCTTCTGCTACTAACAATTTTATCAAACATGCGTTATTCCTTATCTTATTATTCGATGCTTCAGTATTCAAAATATTATTACTTTGATTCTCAAAAGCTTTTAAAATTCAATATTAATATTATATGTCAAAGTAGCGGTTTTAGATAGATAAGTTGTTCTTTTTCCAAAAAACTTAGTGTTTATACTATTTGCTGACATTACTTGTTTTGTGCAGTTAAACCAGTTATTCACTTGACGAGGCAACTGCTAAACGTAGCTGTTGATCAAGGAAACACTGCCCGTCTTGTCTGTGTTGTGGAAGCTGCTCCCAGCGTCAACTTCACCTGGTCCTTAGACAGTGGTGTGGTGATAGGAAGTTATCTAGGCATCTCTAAGTACACCATCCAAAAAGCCCAGTTAGACGAGACTATGTGGGAAAGTGTTTTGTTTATTAAGAATGTTACAGATACTGACTATGGAAAGTATATGTGCATTGTAAAGAACGAGTTAGGTGTTGATGATATCATTATTACACTCAGAAGAAAAGGTATTTGTTTTATATTTATTTTCAACAAACAGAACGCTATGTTTTTTGTTTGTTTGTTTTTTTTGCTTTTTTCATGTGGACGTGATTTATTTTTCTACATGTGTCATTAAATCAGAATCATGTTTTTAGCGCAAAAATAAAGACTCAACAGTTTCGTAGAAATTTTTTTTTCTTCTTAGAGTTCGTGAAAATTAAAACTCCTTTTGATGCTCATGTAAGGGAAGGACATATTCATGTAGTTATCTCAAAATACGTTATGCTTTAAAATAAGACGATTTACAAGTGGAGGAAATTAATGTTGTTTGTTTATTGTTAAGCGCGAAGCTACACAATGGGCTATCTGTGCTGTGCTCACCACGGGTATCGAAAGCCAAATTTTAGCGTTATAAGCCGTCAGATTTACCGCTTAACCACTGGGTCTAATTAACATTGTAATTACAATTATGGTTTGTTTGTTTACTTGTTTTTAGAATTTCTCTCATAGGTACTCAAGGGCTATCTGCGCTAGCCGTCCATAATCTAAAAGTGATACACTGGAAAGATTTTAAAATTCGACACATTTAATTAATGATGTATCATAAAGTAGATAAAGCATCGTGAATGTGAACATAATAGATAAACAATGGATTTGCTTTGAATTTCGCGCAAAGAACTAGCTGCGTCCTTAATTTAACAATGATAGGGAAGGCAGATAGTCAACACCATCCATCGCCGACTTTTGGGCTACTCTTTTTTCCAAAGAAAAATGGGATTGACCTTCATATTATAACTTCCCACGCCTCAAAGGGCGAGCATATTCGATGACGGGATTCTCATGACCCGCAGATTATAAGTCGAGTTCCATAACCAACAGGCCATGCTAGGCCGATATTTATAGAAAAACAGAATTATAGTTAGTAATTTCGGCTATAGTTGAGCCGGAGTGACTATCAAATGAGAACACTGCCATCTAGATTGTGAGAAATTTAGCATTTGAAAATATTAGCACATCAGGACGGTTTCTGAATTAAAATCTGCCTTGATACTGTAGCCCAGAGACTTTCCGCTCATCGACGTTTTCGTTGCTTATTTGATTCATTTATGCATATATTATTTTGACATTTTGTCATAGCCACACCTCACATGATAAGACGTGAACAAAATGAACACAGTTTTATCTTTCTTTTCATCTTTTGACTACAGATAAATAACGTATAAAATACACAATTTTTTTAATTTCTAGCGAGTAAACGATAGTAAAAAAAATGGCGCAAGAAACGTACTTTCAGTGCAGAATCATCTGCTCACTTCTGTTATATCATGCTTTAAAACACTATCGGTATTTTAAACGAGACGACATGGGGTGACCTTTTGAAGTAATTAAAACAGTTAAAACAGTTTCGTATTTCCAAATATAGTATGTTAGAATCGTTTAATTTTGTGTATCAGTGTCACTATTCCAAATTTTGTTTAAATTTGAAACGGCTTAAATCTGCGCTACTATTTATTTGTGTATAAAATTATGTAAAGTTAAAAACATATAATGTAAATGTATATTCTTATACAATCAGAATACTAAACACACACGTTGAAACTGTAATCACATAGTAGGATTTGATAAAGCCTAACGAACTGATATTATATTCTTATTTGTCTGGATATTTTTTTTTCTGTTTCGAAGTTAATTCGAAGTGTGTGTGTGTGTGTATATATATATATATACATATGTATAAAACAATTAAGTTTTATATAGATTGTTTTTTTATCTATTTCATGTAAAATTGGACTTTCATTTCCTTTAGGCAAACCGGATTCCCCTGAGAACTTTCATGTTCTCAATGTTTCATACGACTCAGTATCTTTAGGATGGATTCCTGGCTTCAACGGCGGAGCCGCACAGGAGTTCCAAATCCGCTATCGCGAGTCTAGGTCTAAAATATACAGCTTTACCAAATTCATTCCAGGAAGTTCTGTCCTTCTAGTTGTAAGAGACTTAAAACCACAGTCGGAATACGTGTTCGAAATCATGGCTCGAAATAAATACGGAGAAAGTCGTAACACTAATGCAGTTGTAACAACTAAAATATTGGGTATGATTTGAAAGACATCTTTCCACTTTATAAATAATAATGATACAGATACAGTTTTCATAATACAATTTTCTTGATGTCTTATTTACAAATTATGTTACTTTTTCTAATTTGAATTTCGGTAAGGAGAATTCTTCATTTTGTTATTTATAATCGAATCTTCAGTTTTTTTCCGTGCAATAAATTAAAATATATTTTCATGTTTGATTCAACCAAATTAGAATTATATTATTTCAAAATGCATATATATTTTTACCTTTATACATATAGCTTCAAACGCATTCAACTTCAAATATAATATGTATTATAAAGAAAGCTTTAACATTCAAAACTGTTTAGTGATTATTTCTATAGAATTGCTGTCCAAAAAACTTGTTTTTGTTTTTGAATTTCGCGCAAATCTACACGAGGGCTATCTGCGATAGCCGTCCCTAATTTATCAGTGTAAGACTAGAGGGAAGGCAGCTAGTCATCACCACCCACCGCCAACTCTTGGGCTACTCTTTTACTAACGAATAGTGGGATTGACCGTCACATTATAACGGCACCACGGCTGAAAGGGCGAGCATGTTTGGTGTGACAGGGATTCGAACCCGCGACCCTCAGATCGCGAGTCGAGTGCCTTAACCACCTGGCCATGCCGGGCCGAATTCCCCCCCCAAAAAAAAAACTTAAGTCATCAAATCAAAATACTTTTTCGTGTATTAACAAACTTGAATCAATTTTAAGTTTCGAAAATTCGAAATTTGTTTGGTGAAAAAATATATTTTATTGCCAAAGCGTATATATAGCTTCTTTCTAGTTTTTAATTTTACAAAAATTAATATGTATTGAAGTGTAGTACAGTCTTGACCAAAATGTTTGCATACTATTCTATATTCATGTTATTGTCTATATGCACGTAGTAGTTATTGAGTAAATGCCTGATCGGATAAACATGTACGAGTTGTTATTCTGGTTTGAATAACTTGTTTTGAACATTTGTTCGTCAACAACTCTTACACGTCTGTTTTGTATAAAATGGTGTGCTTTTGGTACAATATTTTTCGAAACAATCAACACTTTGTTCAGACAATTCTTCTGTACTTGGTGTAGAGTCATGCCTTGTCACGTACTAGAAGTTATAGGGCGCCAAATTGTTCGACTGTCCAGAAAGGGTATGAAGCAAACGGACGTTGGCAGAACAGTAGAGTACCCCAAGTGTACTGTATCCAGAATCCTAAAACGTCATCGGACTAGAGGAAACGTTGTTCCCGCAAGGTTTACTTACAGACACCGAAACACTACTACCTGAATTGACCATGTTTTGATCAAGTTAACACGACAGGAATGGCATGAACACATTCATTTCAGGATATCCAGAAGAACAATGAATAGGAGACTGACAAATCAAGACAATTTTGCAAGGAGAACTATCTGCAAAACCGATATTAACCAAAATTCACCACCGTAACTGTGTTACTTGGGCAGGACAGTATTCCAACTTATAGTAGAACAAACTTGACTTTAACATTATTAGAGAGTAATAATACCGATATGATTTGTGTATGTTTGGAATCCCCTACGTATGCCAACGTAGAGTGATTTAATGTTTTTATTGTTATTATTCTTTATATAACGTATTAATTTTACCTAATCTTATTTTACTGATTATCCATAGGCTAACAGTATAAAATACGTAAAAAAAAACGACAGCAAGTAGCGAGATAAAAAGGGGGTAATAGAGTGGTGGCTATAATTTATACATTCGATGTTAGAGACTGCCTAATTAAATAATGAAGTTTTTTTTTTGTATCTTTTGTGTACGTCCACAAAAAAAAACCTTCTAGTTAAAACTCCAAGGAGACCAACTGTTGCATTTTATGTTACTTTTATAAGGACTTTTATGTTACGCATTTATTGATATCGCTGGTTAAGACATTGAAGAGTTGTATTGTTATATTGATTCAATAACATGCAAATGCAGCTGACTAATCATAAAAACAAGCTTTGTTAGGTTACTTATTGTTCGTTCTCCAATACTGGAGAGATCGCTATAGTCTACATACCCTGTATATTTAGATGTATAAGTAAATAATTTCGTTGCATTTTAATTATTTTTCTAGGTTAATCTGATTTCAACGAAACGTCTATATTTATTTAAACATTTTTTAGAGCTGCGTTTTAAATTTTAACAGATAACTCTTTAATGGACACATCAAAAGCCATGGTCAACTCTACCGATGAAGATAACAAAGGAATTTCTAGTATTTTCATCATTGTAGGTGTTATTGCAGGCGCATGTCTCGTTTTTCTTAACATCATTTTTGTCATCTATTTTATAAGAAAAAGGAAGCATAATCAACAAAACCAAGGTTTGTTTGTTTTTTGTTATCTCAAGAAGATATCTAAATGTTATATTTGTTACGACAAGTTGCTTATAGTTTCATCTTTAGGTTTCTATCAATTCTCAATGAGCCCGTGTAGTAAAATTTAATTTGTTTCTCTCTCTTAAAGTTTTAAAAAATATTTTCTGCAGATTGGTTTTAATTCGATTGTAACGTATAATAAACAAAACTATTTCGTTTATATGCAAAAACTGCATGTAAAATTAAGTTATTTACCATAAAAAGTGACGTTTAAATAGCAATAAAAACCTTAGGTAGTAATGTAATGAAGTTTTTGTATTTTTCTAATAACTGATTTGATTTTTAACCATATCAAGAAGATGTCACTTCTGAAAGAAAGACATCCGAAGTGTCTGATTCTCAGATGTATACACCTAGTAATTATCAAGAGAAAATTAACGGAGAAGCATTATACCCGGTTCAGGATGAAAGCAACGAAACTAGTCATGATATAATGTTGAAAGAAGTACCCAACAATAGAAAGGTAAGGTTGATTTGATATAATTAATTAAGAAATATGGGAAGCATTATATCCCGTTTCAAACAAAAACAACTAAACTTATCATGGTGTAATGTTTAAAGAATTACTCAATGATACAAAGGTAAAGTTGATTTGATATTGTTGCTGAAGAAACCTTGAGGTGTGAACATTTATAAAACGAAAAATATAAATCATTATCGTTCTGATTGAATGTTATTGTTGTCATAAACAGAAAATATACAAACTAATTCCTAGAAACTAGTCTCTCTCCATTGTGTTTATGTAAATATTGTATATGAAACGGCGTAGATTTGCGAACACTATTTCCGAAACACATGAATTTCAACTGAATTCGTAAGTTTTAATCACAATTTTATCAGCATGATACTAAGGCTCTGATAATGGTCTGTGGACTAAATGACAACAATCCTGTTAAAGTAACAAATCGGGTAAAAGTTTATGTGCTTTGTAATTTGTAATCCTTTAAAGTTCTTTAATTCAAGCGTGCTCGTTGTTCATTGTTCTGCTTGCATTTAGCGTACTTTCACTAATTCAGATAATTCTTGTTCGGATTGTTTTCTTTTTACCAACTCTCTGCAATTCTTAGAACTATCCGTTGTTAAAAGAGGTTATAATTAGAAATAAGACAAAGAAATGCTTCTTTTTCTTTGTTGTTTTGTTGTTAGGCGTAAAGTTATACAATTGGTTTTCTGCGCTGTTTCCACCACATGGTATCGAACCCCTAATTATAGCGTTAGAACCCTCTAACTTAAAGCTCAACCAGTGGGGAACGCTGTTTAATGTTATATTTAGTTGCTAATCTACCATCAGGTAGCCATGTTTAGTGATGTAAATTCCAATAGTTTAAACAGAACTTTAGCAGTTCTAGCAGTTCAATAAATCCCCCCTCCGGTGGCTCAGCGACAATTCTAACGACTTATAAAGCTAAAAACAGGTTTCGATAACCACAGTTGGCAGAGCACATATAGCTTTGTGCTTAACAACAAACAATGAATGAATTTCCATTATCTAACTGTAAATTATTTAAATCAGACTAGAAGAGAGCTTTGCAGTAAATGTGTTGGTTTCGTATGACTGATGTGTAATTAATTCATAGTAGCGTAATCTCTAATTGTTTATGAACTAATATTAAACAAATATATTTAAAGTATCAATGAAATCTTAAATCCCATAATCCAATAAAATAGCAGTTTAAAGAATTTTTAAGGGTGATATTAACAATCAAAAACACAAATATATTAAAATGCAAAAGAAATTTCAACCTACAAAAATATTGGGCATAAAGCATTTAAGGATTATGTTTATAGTTTCATGTTAAATACAAAAATAGACATTGTTACATAACAGACTTCCTTCATCCCACGATGAAAACTGTATGCAAAAATCGTAGTAAAGTGCTATATGTATTTTTAGTAAAAAAAAAATAGATTGTTTTGTTTCAATGTTTAATGGCGAATTTTGATATCTAAAAACGTTTTCGTTTAGATTTCTTTCCTGTTTTAATACAATAAAAAATTATCATACAGTTTGCTTTGGAATAACGGTTTAAAGATAGCGAGCATATATATGTATACTTTTATTTTATTCCTGTAAACTCCCAGTGGAGCATAGGGCCGCAACAACACCTCGCCAACGGAAGGTGTTGTTGCAGTTACTTGTAGCAGGTTTGTTTTTACGGGGTTGCTAGCCCCGCGTCCAACCCTCCTCCTTTCTCACCCTGGACTTGGGAACAGGCAAAGGCGGAGGTTTGGCATGTTCGGTGTGACGGAGATTCGAACCTCAGATTACGAATCGAGCGCCCTAACCACCTGGCCATGCCTGGCCTATATGTATACTTACTACACTTCAATTTGTATCTTTTACGAACAAAGAAATTGATGTCACAAGGAAACTATTAAATAAAACAAATATTCCGTAGATGAATATCTGCTAAAAATGCAATTTTAGACAGTCTTATACCATAATGCATTTTATCAACTTGATTATTTAATTTACCTGGTTTGAGGACTGGCATTGCCTGGTTGTTAAGGCGCTCGGCTTGCAATCTACAGGTCACGGTATCGAATCCCGGAGTGAAGCGTGTTCTCCCTTTCAGCCTACATGTTATTAAAATGTAACGTTCAATCCCATTATTTATTGGTAAATAAATAGCCCAAGAGATAACAGTGAGTGTTGCTGGCCGGATGTCATCTCTCTGATCAGCATTTCCAAATTAGTGACGACGGTAGATATGTAACATACTCACCCTCCTTACTGTCAATGAATCACATCATTGTTATATAAGTTAAAAATGATATTAGTTTTTGAGGCATCTAAAGTTTGAGTAAAATATGCTAATATAATTATTATATGTTTGTGATTAAAAGTGATAAAACTATTTATTTTCTGGTATAATCTGACAAAGCAAAAATAAATTGCACAAGGAATAATCTAAGAAAAAACATTAAATTGGCTGTCATATTTTTCTACAATATTAATAATTCCACAATCAGTTGTATGAACATTAAGTTATATATAAATTATATGTGTTTTTTATAGAACGTGGAAGTTGAGAATGAACAAAGTAAATCCCCAAAGTATAATAAACCTTCCGAAGAAAGGACTGAAGAAGGTAAGAATTTCGTAAAAATTGAAAGAAATGGAAAATATATTGTGTGCGATTCACATTATGGCACCGTTACTTAACGTGCATTTGGTATTTAGCATAAAGTTATTTTAATAAGACGTGTAACTAATGACTTTATTTAATAATACGTGTAACTTATGACTCTATTGTTTATTTTATCAGGTTTCTCAAAACAATTGTATATTTGCTATTATATTTACTAATATTATCGTTTCTTAACGTCTACATAAACTAGGTTTACTTAGTTTTGACAATCTCACATTACTTGTCATCATTATACTTTATTAATTAGAAGTACACGTAGTTGAGAAAATTTAACTATTTTACATAAGCTTTAATGAAAATAATGTTTAATGATTAAGGGTTCCATAAATAAACCGATTGCTGTATACCTAAAGAACATATGTGGTTTCATGAATATCCAGATTGCTGTATACATAAAGAACATATGTGGTTCCATAAATAAGCAGATTGTTGTATATCTCAAGAATGTATGTGGTTCAATAAATAACCGGATTGCTGTATACCTAAAGAACATATGTGGTTTCATGAATATTCAGATTGTTGTATATCTCAAAAATGTATGTGGTTCCATAAATAAACAGATTGTTGTATAACTAAAGAATATATGTGGTTCAATAAATAACGAGATTGCTGTATACCTAAAGAACATATGTGGTTCCATAAAAAAAAACATATTTCTGTATATCTCAAGAATGTATGTGGTTCCGTAAATAAACAGATTGATGTATACCTCAGGAACGTATGTGGTTCAATAAATATCCAGATCGCTGGTTATTTATGGAACATACGTGGTTCCGTAAATGTATGAAACTTCCCAATGAGACATGAGGGTACTGGGTCTTCAAATTCTGTTTCACATCTAATATTACTATTACGTATAACTCCTGTTCTTTACATTTATTTATAAACCAGTGGGACACTTAAGTTCTCGTATCATGGGTTTACAATCCTTTACTAGAAATGTATTTAAAACAATAAATATTATTTTTTTATTATGCATCTGCTTACTATTTTATATGTTTTTCATATCGGTAAAGAAAGAGTTAAAAAGCAAAAGAATGACATTACTTAGTACGGGCAATGTCCTTGCAAAAGTATATAAGGAAATTTCCTTTCTGATTCGTGTTGTAATTGTTAGTTTTAATGCATCCTTGTAACTTTACTATAGCTATGGTTGTCAAGTAATCAAGAATTCATGGATCACATACTAAACATCAAATCTAAAACCAATAAGTGTAAGTATTAAACATGAACATGAAATCTAAAGGATCACATTTTGTGTGAATATTTATTACGTTAATTTAATTATAGCAAGGACAATTTACAACAATGAAAACTAACTCATTTTTATCTGATATTTCCCATCAACATTTATTTAGCACAATTAAGTCATTTTTACACATATTAAACAAAAACTGTATGTTATTTTACATTATGTAGAACAAAATAGAGAAATGAGGACATGCAGTGAAACTGACAAAGACTGCCCGGATATTTTAAAGAAACCTGAAATATCAAGTATAGAAAACCGGGAAGTAACGAAACGAGTAAGTAAATTATTAAGAAAAAGTTATAAATTATTCTAATTGTACATTTTTTTCATTATTATAATGTTCTATAAAACATAAAACGATTTAAAGACAAGAATAAGTACGATTATTGTATCGTTGTGTAAAAACCAAGCGAAAAATCTTGATTTTTATATGTTTGTATGTGTGCAGCACTTTGGAGGATATATATATATATATATACATAGTAGTGTTGGGTATCATTATATAAGAAAGTATTCTATATTTCACAACCAGTCTTTAAATCTAAAGATATACAATTTCCTTTTTTTTTTCTATTCTATAAAACTATTATTTTGTCACCCTTCATACACTATTGTATTCCATTTTTTTCAATAGTTTCCAATTTATTCCATATGCAAAATCAATTGAAAGAAACTGCACGTTCAATCAACGTTGCTGGAAAAAAACTAAAACACCACTGAGGGACTTATTAAAATGAAATTCTAAACTTACGATATCCTCCCAGCTATTGAAAACTATATATACCGGTAGATTTGAGGCTGTCAGAGAATAAAAGGAAAATTAAACTATAACTTTTACAAATCCGTTCAATCATATTCGTGAAACGTCATTGTTTCTAATAACAGAGCAGTGCCATTAAGACGTGATTGCGCGTTAACATTGGTTTGCTGGAGATACAAAGTTTTGTTATTTTCTTATACATTATAATGCACAATACTGAAGGGGAACAGAAACTGCGGGCTTGTATTTTCTATCGACCCTAGATAGTTTTACAGTTATTTCATAGAATATAGAACGTGAGTACGTTGTATTAAAACGATATCGAAAAAGCAAACTAGCGAGTCGCGTTAATAACCACAGACGATTTGGAGTCGCAATCTAAAGTTATGTATCAAAACTACATTTTCAAATGTTTCGCCGTACGTACCTAGTATGATGCCACTCGAAAACAGATTGGTTTCGGAAAGGGTTTGTAACAACACTTTCCAATGCAAGATTTGGAAATTTACAAAAATGGGAGACGTTCCTTGTCTTAACGCCATTGGAAAACAAAGGTATATGGATCAACTTGGAACAGTACCCCAGCCGTTGTAAGAAAAATACGGCGTCTTGTAACAGGTGAAAATCCACAAACAAAAAGATCAGAGGCAAAAGTCGTTCACGTGCCCTAGGCAACAGTACACAATATAATCAAAAGGGATCTCGGTCTGAAAAAGCAACACTGGTAACGAGAACGCAAGTTGCTTCCACTACATACGTGTTCAATCATTGCATACCTCAAACAGTTTCAGAATGAAACTGGTATTCATACTATTCCAAATAAAAACATACTAGTCAAGTTGCCAGAGCAGCGCCTATGTATTTCTGTGTATTCGGACAGTTAAAACAGATGCTAGAAACCACCGAGCTTATACACTGGGCATTCGTTTAACATAACAGTTTTACTATAAAGCCTTTTGTAAAAGCAACTATACTAAATGGCTAATCTCAAGATGTATGGTGGTCATATAGAACATGACTCGAGATGAAGACATGGGTTGTAATGACGTATTGAGACTCCAAAATCATTTCAATATAACACACTCAGCCCATATTATGCAAAGTCAAATGTATCACTGAGAGAATTCAAAACTATTAAACTTGATATTGTTAATAATCTAGTATTACGATCGTGCTATACTCGCACTTCGTTTTTCCTTCTTATGTCCACCAACTTTCTTTAGGCTGTACTTATTCCTATCAGAAATTGACTTTTACCTATGTTTACAAAAATATCAAACTGCTGTTTATTACTGATAATAATTAAACATAGATTTAGGAATAATTTTGTTTATTACTGGCAGCATATAATTTTCTTCCTTTGCCTCTCTCCTATTATTTATTCTCTCTCACATTTCCTGGTCTTCTTCTCTTTCTTTTATTGAACTCCTATCGTTTATATTATTTTCTCAAACCCAATCTGAGCCGGTCCCTTTCTTTCTGACCTTTCACTTGTTTCCCGTACATCGAATTATAATGTTTCATAACCTTAGGTCTAGCAGTCTTCATACCAACTGAAGTTAAAAGACGGCCACTACATTCGCTCATTCCAATCATTTTCTAATGATGTAAACTTTTTAATTCCTTAAAGACTGCCCAAAGAATGGCCACTTTCTCACACTCCCTCAACTTTAACCGATGCTAACTTACACTTAACTTCATGACACCTAGAAATGGCAGTATATTCATATTCAATATATTCTTAATGAATAACTAGAGTAAAAAAGAAATTTGAACCTAGAGTTACAGATTGTCGTAAACATAATACATTCATGAAATTTATATCATAGGAAGTGTGATTTTCCCTAATATTTCTCTCTGTGATTTAACGCTAAATACGAAGAACATTTAAAATATATAACAGCTTGAGATTTCATAGTTTTGTGTTTAAAGTGATATGTTACGATATTGTTAATAATATTTCTGTTTATGTATATATATAATATTCTTTTGTTTAATATTTTGGAAACATATAATTATCTTATTTTATACGCTATAATATAATAGCTTTTTTGATTGCCTTGCATGATCGGCATCCATATTAACACTTTATTACCTCAGAACTTTTACTTCATTGCTAAAAAACGGTATGTGGATTGGATACAGAGCTACAAGAATTCAGTAAAGGCATAATCTATTTTTAAAAAGCAGTTAGTCAGTAAAACATATTCAACCATGATTTCTTTATCCATTTAACACAATCCACGTCACATCTGCAATATGTTAATATGACCTTGCATAATAAATTTCTCTGACAGACAGTGTAATTCCTTTCTATTTGGTGGCACGGGTACTTATTGACCATAAATCAGAGGATTTGTAATTTATGTAGAAAAAAAAATCATGAGATGAAATATAAGGTGAGATTATTTAATCACAGTAGCATTATTTGTTCATTTGCTTTAACTTAGCTGTCAAATGTACAATGTCCAAAAAAATTAACGAGTAGTAGGAATTTGTAGTGTTATAGTTAAGACCAGGCAAAAGCATGGTTATATAGTAGTATCAACCAGCTAATTTTTATGCAAACCGGATAACTGACAATCAGTCATGTAGTTTGAAAAGCAAATGATTGGTCATTCATCCTACTTTCTTGGATGAAAGTTTAGTAGATATAGTTTACAGTTAATGACATTTCACTCCATTATGGAGTGTTATAACTACGAGCAACAACAAAAGCCTGGCATCTATGTTTCGTGCTTAATATCATCGTTGATGAAGCTCTGAGTAATCCCTGACCACTATTTTCGAGTATGTTTAGCGTCTGAGTTCACAAGAGCATCCTGTTTATGCTTAATGGGACTGAAATCCGATGGCTGTGAAATTAACTCGATATGATCAATTTCGCTTTCTTTAAAGAATCAGTCGACTAGTTTTACATAGTGGAAAAAAGCGTTTGTGTCGAAGATGATATTCTGCTTTGTCTAAATATTTCAACAATCATAATATTAATTTGGTTTTAAATCTGTTCTACATTCTGATTATGTTATTTTGACACTCTTACATCCAATTTGCCAAAACTTGTTATGATTGGTGGCTTCCATTTCTCCAATGGATTCCTTCATGAACAAACGTCATTTCTGAAGTCTATCCATGATTCACGAACAGCCTCTAGTAATTTGAACTCTATTGTTTTTTAGTTACGATTGTATAAGAACAATCTGTAGAATATTGGAGTCGCCAATAATATGCTTTTCAGATTATGTGATAGATCATCAGTGCCTAATTTTCATAACGATAAACTAAGAGAGGTGATTAATATATTTTCTAACAATATATTTTGTATCGTCAAAGCTATAATATTGCAAATTGTGTCTATCCTTCAACAGTTCTGAGAAGTGTATATTAAAATGTCTGCAAAAAAATATTTAACTGTGGCTGCTATTTCGTCCATCTCTTACCTAGTACTGTTCACTTCATTTAAAATACAAATGTGTGATGTATAAAACATCACATATGTGTATGATATTTTATCTTTTGTTTTTGAATAAATTAGAACTGATATCAAATTATGTGCTTGAATGTAACTAAATGTGTTTGGCTGATCCAAACACCAGCCATTATACCATTCATGATTTTTTTTCTTATATTGTTCTAAAGAGTTATGTTTAACACATGCATATTATTTAGAAAAAGGGGTGTTTATAGGGAATAATTACAGATTCGATTTATAGGAAAATATGGATTTACTATTTAATAAAGGGGTATTTCCTGTCATCTTATTTTCGTCTTCAATTCCTACATTTTGGTCTTCTGTGTCATTAGGCTTTGTCATACCTGAAACGGATGTTTGTACTTCAACCGATGCTTTCATTTGGTACCACTTACGTCCAAACTGAGTTGTATTTCTCGCACTATATATCGTAAAGTTGTGTTTTTTATATTACATGTACTATAACATGTAAAGAGGTATTTTTATAATGCTTCATTATCGCTTATCACGTAGGTAAAAAAAATATCAAGAATTTTAACTTTTTCTCTCCGTCTATTTATCGAATTATCAAAATCTAACACAGAAACACATTTGGAATAGAAAAGTTAACATGCCAATAGTAGTTACTTATATCTTGTTTCTATTGTATTTAGCCTAATAGTATTTTTCTGTGGACAGAATATGGGAAGACAAATGATAAGAGTCACGTAAACACGATATTTTTGTTCTATCTAAGTGACAGCAAATTACTATTTTTATTTACTATATAGCATTTTGAAATGTATATTTGCCAGATAGAAAATTCAATAATTAATAAATATATATGTATTCAATATTTGTAAGCGTTATAAACGTTCTAAACAACTAACTATAATCCACCATTTCATTATCAGTATTCCGAACAAGTAAACACAAAATGTGATTTGTTATAAAGGAGCAGATTTGTTAACACAGATGATTTCTTAAGAACTGGAGATTTTTCAATCGAAAAAGGTTATTTTCTTGACCAAACATGTAACAATGTCTTCCCAAAATCATTTGAAGGAAATAAAGGCCTGGTAATCAAACATTAATTATGGTATTTACTAAACAAAGCTATGAAGTTCATATAATTATAGAATAATCCATCTTTGAATATTTGTTTCACAACTGAAATGTTTTCTCAATGTATTTTAAGTTACGTTATTGTCTATAGGAATACAACAAACCATTTATGAACGGTGGACGTTCCCAAAGAAAAGAGTTCCCTACCCAAGCAGTGGATATATCTAACGTGCCATATCCTGCCTCAACAAAGACAGCCAAAGTCAAGCACGTTCAGATCATACTTCCTGATAAAGAACCCAACGTTAGAGCTCGTGATCTTGTCGTCCACACATCGTCCAAGCCCCAAAAATACGTCGTCGGTAAGCTGGGAGTTCATGTAGTATGATTTGAAAGACAAAGGTAGATCGCACAACATAATGCCCACGCAATTGCCAGAGGTGAAAGAAACCCAAACAGATATATATTTATCTCTGTATGTATATTCTGTACCCAATTTATTCACAGCTAGCTCCTTATTCCTTGCTTCGGGAAACGTCAACTAATTTATGATAGCAAAGGTGTAACCAGATAGTCTCAAACATTTCAAGAAAAGACTTATTAGAATTTTAAAAAATCTGGACAAAATACTAAAAAGCTGTATACTTGTTGTACGTGTACTTTCTTGAATTCTAATGTAAAGTGTTGTGTATAAAGAAAATCATGCGTTACCTTATAAAATATCAAAAAATAAAAAATAAATATAAGATGTGTGTGTGTTTTTTTTTGCATTATTCACGCTTAAATCACCTTCTAAATAATCCAGTTTCAATGTTTGAAATTTCAAACATTTCTCTTCATCTTGAATACCATGTTACACTGTCTGTATTTTTATTTCAACAGAACCACCAAATAAAGTACTTGGAGATTATAGGGTATATTGAGTCCTCTTTTGTTATTTTATGAACTTCTGAAAAAAAACAACAATATATATAAATCGAATCACCAGATTCTGTCGTTTCATTATTTACAGCATAGTGCAGAAAATGAGATAGGTATGGTAAAATGTGATAATTTAATATTAAGAGTTAATTAAAACAGAATACCATTATACATCGAAAATGTTATTGATTTATATTTCATTAAAATGTTGACTAGCAGTTATGTTATCTATAAAATTTTAGACTTATGAGCATAAACTAATACCTACAAATTTCACAGTTAAGAGATACTTTCACTTAGAATTATCAATTATAGAAGTAGATTACAATTGTTATTTTACTTTTTCCTCTCATTTCTCTCATTCTTTAGTATTATTACAAATTTATGTACGCTACCTTGATAAATTTATGGCCGTTGTTCTGCTTCAACACATAGAATTTGCTGCAGCCTATGAAACATCCAGATAGTTATTTGTCCACAATAAGTTCTCTGGAAAAATAAGCAGCAATCCCCATTTTCCTGGTGCAGTAACTTGGTCTGTTTGATTTATGTAGTCTACAACTATCTGAGATAAAATAGCTACTTCTCCACTCAGAGAACAGTGTTATAACTCTGAACCTTTTCCGTAGAAAAAGTTTGGGGTAGCTTTGGCTACAATATAATAAGTTATTTCCATTTATATTATCTATGGCTTTGAAACGTGATTTTAAAACCAACACAAAGTTAAAAAACGTTTTCAAAAATGTATCCATCCTAAAAGTTGAGATGCGGTTCATTGTAAAGGAAAATTGTTTTTCATTTCTCTGAGAATCCCATTACAGAATATTACAAAAAGTTATTTTTTGTTGTTGTTGAAAAACTTTTTGATATTTAAGAAACTCTGTGTTTCAGCTTTTATACATACATTTTGTGTTCTTCAGATAACACAACACAAATTGAATTTTTTATATTAATTTTCTAAATATATTCTAAATACCGACTTGTCAACCTTAGAAAACAAAATCTGTATTTTTGAGTTACAAATGAACTGAGTGTTATAAAAGCTCTTTCGAAAAAACCATTATTTCACGCTATATCTTTTTCAGTCAAATAATTAAAAAAAAAACATTTATCTTTACGTCGCGTTGTCTGACACGATATATATATATCTCAGTTTAAAAGAGACGTGATAATATCGGTGTAAATCGTTAATATTATAGCATTAATACATAGGAGAAGATTCAGCTTTCGAAACGTAGTGCTTATTACAAGCTCCATAGTTTGCACTGACATTTGATCTTTCTAAAACTTATCAGAGTTATCACTGAACTGTATTGAAATCAATGAATAGTTGTTTGAACCATCTTTAAGAAATAGAAACCCTGTATCTAAACCTGTGAAAATAAATTCCTGCCAATTAAATATTTTTGCATCAAAGTCATCTTTTGTAGTTTAATGAAACAAATCTATATAATTATAATAGTACTGCCTGTTGTATGTTGTATGTCCATTTGACTACTTCGTCCCCTGTAGATGGATTTTCACCAAAGTTGGTATGTAGGTTTATTGGGTCCATGCGGAGATACATGCAAGCCTGGGGTTTCATATTTTGTGTTTTGCAGTTTTTAATGGCGTTTTTCTTTTAACAATTGCATATTAGAGAAGCAACTTTTCATGTCCTTAGATAACCTTTCATTAATCATGGATTTACATAACTTCAGTCCAGGGGACGGGTACTACAACTAGTCTATATAAATACAATAGTACCATCTGTTGTATGTCCATGTAACTACTTCACAGGGTGTGGATGAATCTTCCCCAAAATTGATATGGAGGTTCATGCGGGGTTCATACAAAGTTTCAATTTTTCATTTAAGGTTTACAGTTTTTATGGACGTTTTTGCATTTTTTATCACTACCTCATCTCCTGTTGATGGACCTTCACCAAATTTGGTATGGCGGTTTATTTGGTACATGGGGAGATACATACAAATTTTCAGTTTTCCATTTTGCGTTTTGCGATTTTTATTTCCGTTTTTTACAATTACATATAAAGAAAGCAACTTTTCATGTCCTAGGATAACCTTTTATTAAACATGAATTTACATAATTTCCGTCCAGGGGATGGGTACTCCAGCTAGTAATAAATAATATTCTAACTGAATAAAGTTATTAACTCTTATATATGATATAATTATATATGACATAATTTGTATTTCACCTTTTTATCCAAGAGCTTTAGCTTTAGTAATGCTCTGATGCAGTAAGTAACACCATTATGAGTATATAAGGTCACATTAATAACTTGGAAATCCATTCGTTTACAACCGTATACGTAAATGCCATCCAAAGTTTACATCGATAAATTTTTTGAGAGTTTCTCTGTGCCAGCTCAAATTTTACTGCACCCTGAGGAACATTCAGGTACAGGTATTTGTTCGTATTAATTCCCCTGAAAAAGGATAATCAACGAACCTAATTTTCTTTTTGTGTTTGCACAGTTTCTTTGATTTATAGTCCATAATATTTATTGGTTTATGAGTATTCTCATAACCCAATGTAAAAGCTACAATTTTTATGTTCACTAAATAACGTATTATATTACGAAAGCATCAGTACACAGTTAGGTACTGTTAACATACCTATCTACAATAACTATGTATTTAAAGCCATTTGTAAAGTATGCTGAGTAGACAAGATGTAATTTTATTAACAATATCTATGTAAATGTATTATAGTAATTAAATACATTTAAGCTATTCATTTATAAAACCTGGTACAATGTCTGACATTATTCCGTATAAATATTTTGATTTTATCTACGTTCTATCTCGAATATTGTTAAGATTATTTATATGCCAGATTAAAAAAAAAGCTAAAAAACAATGTGGACGTTTTAAATATACTTTATAATAGATAAATTAAATATTTTCAAGTATAATTTATAAGAAAATGTTTCTGCGAATCTTTCTCTACATGAACAGTGTAAGTAAAGCTTCTTGCTCATTTTTGCACAGTTCGTAAGGACGTCTCGGACCTGTCACGTGTTTTTCTCTCATGCTGCAGTAGTTCAGAAAAGGTATTTCAGCTTATCTATCTTTACTGCGACTTAACTGAACTGAGGAACCGTCTTATTAGCTTAAGGTCTCGTCAGTCCTAGATAAAGGTAGCTAAAAGGTAGAAAAATAGTGCATTATAGGCTTGAACGTCACAAGGGACTTATGCTCAAAAACTTCAATAGTTACAGAGATGTATTTACTGCATTACTATACTTTCAATATATAGAGGTTAATACTAAATAAAAACGCCTATATTCGTTTACTGTATTTGCCATACTTTACCTAAAACTTATCTTAATTCTAGTATTTTAATATAATCCTACAACTTATTTTACAGTTTCGACAACAGAAAAACAGTGTTCTTTCTTGCACATAAGTTAGTATAATTAATATAGTTTGAATCTCCTGCTTTAGAATATTGAAAATCACATTGTCCTATGTTTTTTAATTGCACAATTCGAGATAATGTTTTATTACCAAGAAATATATCTAATTTTTAGTGTATATATATTTTCAAAATTGATTGTCATTTAAAAACCTGGATTGTAAATAAAACTACTTAACCTTATTTTTAACTGTTTAGCAACGTATGATTATTTTTCTTGATCTGGTTCAATTCTTAGCATTTAAGTAAAAATTCCATTGGAATTGCAAAAGCCCATGAGATAATTTAATTCATAAAATTACAATAACCCACTAAAGTATTTATTTTCGTTCAAGTTGATCCTTTCCCTATAGCGAAAACAGATATTTCGATTAGCTATATCCGCGTGTACAGTGACATCACAATGAGGAAATAACATTTGTATTTTGTACAAACTAGCAGGATAATATAAGTAACTTAACTTTTTTGCGGGCTAATATTATCCACTACATCTCCCATCTTCAGCCACTCAATTTAACTCTGCATAACTGTACTTTCTGCTACTTATATCTGTCTAAATTCTCTCTGTCACTGAATCTTTTAGCTTTCTGATTTTATCATAAATTTTCATTCCTGTGCTGTGAGTTTCTACACTACACCTCTTCGTGCTCATTATCCTATCTTGACTTTACTTACACTTCATTTACATATACTATATCAAGAACAGTGGAGCTTGAGCATAGCGTTCCCGTCACTCAACCAAGATTTTGGTATAAGTCGATGAACATAATATAAGCGAACATAATTTAAGTCACTACCTTTTCATGTAAATTCCTGTAAATGCGCCCCAGTGGCAGAACCGTAAGTCTGCGGACATATAACGCGATGGACACAGCACATGTAGCGTATAGTGTAGCTTCTTGCTTAACTACAAAGAAAGTTAATTGTAAATAACACTTAAATATATATAAGTATTTAGCGATATTTCGTTTCACAATTTAAAATTATATGTAAATTAAAATAATTCATATTAAAAGGAACAGCATTAAGAAAATAATGCAGAATCTGTATAATCAGTGCTTAGTTTCTGTATTCTGATAAATAAACTGTAATATATGCAATTGTGAATTTCTTTAAACCTGTTTTTTTTTTGTCGTACTTCAAACTATAAACACACTAGCTAAATAGAATTCCTATTGCTCGTCACAGTCGTAAGAAATCCGGGACTATTAAAAGATGGGTGTCAGCGTAATTTATGCTAAATGCTTAATTAAATATTTTATTCACATAAATGTAGTTTCCTGTTTGAAATATTCGCTGTATCTTTTGTTTAAGAATTGTTTAAC